AACAAATGCTGGCAAAGTTGTGGAGAAACTGGAACCCATATTCACTGTTGGTGGAAGTGTATGTGGAAAGCAGTGTGGCGCTTTCTCAAAAAGTTGCAAACAGAGATACCATTTGACCCAGCAATTCCACTACTGGGAATATACCTTAAAGAAACCATAAATGACATCCAAGCAGATATATGCACACCCATGTTTATCGCGGCTTTGTTCACAATAGCAAAGAGTTGGAAACAACCTAAGTGCCCACCAACAAATGAATGGATAGAGAAGTTGTGGTATATTACACAATGGAATACTACACTGCATTGAAAAACAAGGAACTCATGCAATATTATTCAAAATGGGTGACCCTGGAGGACATTATGCTGAGTGAAATATCTCAGTCACAAAAAGACAAATACTGCATAATGCCACTGCTGTAGAATAGGACTGACATTAGGGTTGGGGTAAGACTGAGAAAAACTGGATAAATTATATATACTGCATTGAAACAGATGAAGGAGAGAACAGTTTAAAAGCGATACACGACAGGGTATTATGATTATCACAAGAGTCCAGAATTAAGGTTGCATAGTGGAGTGCCCTGGGGGGTGGGGGGAACGAGGGGACTGTATACCAATGAAGGAATTTTTCTTTTACTTTTCAAAGAGAGGAGCGAACTAGGAGGGAGGTGTGCAACAATGAATGAATGGAAATCCAAAATCTCTGTAAATGTTCATTAAAATTAAGAAAATAAATTTTTTTAAAAATGAAATGTTGATTTTATCTAGGGTAAGGTATGATCTGTTCCCAAAGGAAACTTCCAGAACTGCATACCACTAACACACGTCATGACGGCACACCAAACAGGAAGAAGGCAGGATGCCTGGGAATTTGTGCTTTCCCATCTGAAAGAAGTGGTTTCTTTCAGGTAAGGAAAAAGAAAACTCATTAAATGTGATTACATAAAAGCACTTCATGATTATAGAAGGCCTTCAAGATGATCATGGTTTGACCTACAGTAGATTTAAAAAAAAAAAAAAATACGTGGTAGAAGGAGAGAGCTGGAAACAAGGAAAAAGTAGGAGAGAGATAAAGGAAAATAACTCCCCACTCTAATGGCCACTTAGTTTCAAATGAAATTCCCAAATCCCCAGGCAACCCAAACATCAGCCTCTGTACTGTGGGGAGGGCCCCACCAGGAAGCAAGCGGACTGCACAAGTTAAAAGAAACACCAACCATCCTGGGACTTCCCAGACATCACCCGGTTCCCCTTTATCCCAGCACACAAGAGCTACCGGTAGCTAGGCAACCACAAGCCGGTGCGCTTTCACGCCATATTAATCCGCAGCAATGCAAACTGCGCTGAGTGGTAGGACAGGGGTAGAATGCAAACTGGGCTGAATGGAATTTTGTATTCATTCTCTGCTCAGCTCCCTCCTTCCACAACACACTACCCCCACTTTCCTCTAGTACAGGTCAGCCTCGGGCCCTTGGCTCCCTCGGACCCAGGGATGCAGTGGGTAATTCCATAGGTACCTCTCCTTGCTGTCTGGGTTCTCTGGAAACCAGGTAGAGACTGTGAAAGCCACCACCAGAGAAAGTGACACCGAAAGGGTGACTGGGACGAGGGCTCCTAGCGGGGTCAGGACTGCTGGCCCCCTCTGCCTCAGTGGTTAGCATATTCCCCATCCCGGGGTCCTATAGAATCTATAATTATCTGGCATCTTGATTCTTCTTTGTGCAGCGATCTACTGAAGACCCCTCGTGATAGAACATACTTTAGACACCATCTCTTTTAATCTGTGCAGGTGGCATTAAGTGCACACAAGGATGGTAGCGAGAAATTAACTCAGAGTCAGGGGGTCAAAACATACTTCAATTCATCTCACATATATACCTTTCTCACTTCCTCTAAGCTATCTTCACCACCCTCCAGAGGACCCCTCAGCCTGGCCGGTGAGCTGGGAATAAGCCGAAGAACAGACCCATATTGATTCAAGAAGACTGTCCCTTTCATCTGCTGGGACCTTTATGTCAAAGGTCTCCTATGGACCTGCTTTCAAATCTTTAGTGCCCATAACAACCCAAACTCATTGCCACTGAGCCAATCTCAACTTAAAGCAATGTGGCAGGATAATAAATATACTGCTCCCTTGTAAGGTTTCCAGGACCATAATCTTTATGTAACATACTGTCTTATCTTTCTCCTGGGGTGCAGCTAACGGTTTTGAATCACCACTTTTGGTTAGTAGCTGAATGCTTCACCACTGAACCATCAGGGCATCTTTAGTATCATTAGAGGCAAATAAAAATAGACCTGAGGTACAAATAAACCCTCCTACAATCCCATCCATAAAATGAGAAGGCCTTGAAGCACTTGCTGCAGAAGATAAAAAACTACAGCCTTCAAAATGGATTGCATCTCAAGATCAAGAAGACAAAAATCCTCACCACTGGGGAAATAGGCAACATCATGATAGATGGAGAAAAGACTGAAATTGACAATTCTTTCCTCTCATTTGGATCTATTCCCAAAATCCTTGATACATGCCATAAATAAGGAGATCAGGAAATGCACAGCATTGGAAAATCTGTGGTTAGGAACTTTCAATCACTTGCCATGCATCTGGAAGCTGGACGATGAGTAAGGATGACAGAACAATCAATGCCTTTGAGCTGTGGTGTTGGAGGAGAGGACTGGATATAACCCATGGACTGTCAAAGAACAAACAGGTATATCTGTGGAAGGTACAGCTGGAGTGCTCCTTCGAGGCAGGGGTGACAAAACTTTGTCTCATATATTTTGGGCATGATGTTAGGAGGAGGGGCTATTCCTGGAAAGGGATATCATGTTTGGAAAGGCAGACAGTCAGCAAAAGTGAGAAAGACCCTCAGTGAGATGGATTGGCACAGGGCCTGCAGGATGTCAGAGAGCAGCCTCAAGTGTGTCACAGCACAGGACACGGTTCAGGTCTGCTGGTCATAGGGTCACTATGAGTCATACTTGGCTTCGTGGCACCTAACAACAACCATCATCCATCCAAACCAAAGGCCAAGTTCAGAATTCCCTAAGTCGCTGCACCCCATTCATGAATATTGACTGCTATAAGTTAAACTGTTTTGATTAATACAAGCTATTGGTGTTACTGGTCGCCTCTATATATCTGGGCTCCTTCTGCTTCCCGCAGCAGTAAGATGCCGCAGACACACTGTTTACTCATAGGGTACTCCTTTCCATCATAGGGTACTCCTTTCCAAGGGCTTGATGGGGTGTTCTCAGAGTACTCTCTCCTCCTGATCTTGTCAGAATCTGGTCAAATTAATAACTCATTGCTGTCTAGTCAGAACCAACCAATAGCTGATCCTGCAGTGAGTTTTTGGAAGCTATAAATCACATGGGAGAAGACTTCCCATCTTTGTCCCACTGAGTTACTGTTGGACTCGAACCATCATCAGAGTTTCCACCAGCAGAGTCTGGACAGAGCTTTTATAAATGGTGTGCTCACCTCCAGGGGGAAGGTGTGGCACACGGGAAAGAAGCCAAGTCTAAATAATCTGAAACTAGGATGCTGATCTTGCAATACAAGGAGGATGGGATGTGGGCTCTAGGAGACAAGCATCTTAAATCCTAACTCATGTTCACTTCTTCCAGAAAGTCATAGGACATACTGGCATAAATCCATCAACTTAAGTGTGGCAAGCTCTTAAGGTCTCTCTCTGCTTAGTTACAGTTCTCAAGAACATAAAATAAAACAAACACACTCAAAAACAGGAATGGAAGGAAGAAGTGAAAAGCATTCCTTTCTGCTCAGAGAGGAAATACTATTTAGAAATACTGAAATACTGAGTCAAAAAGCACTGAATGTCAACATCATTGGAAACTACGATATTACTACTGAGCTGTGGTGCTGGAGAAGAGTTTTGAGGGTACCATGGATTGCTAAGAAAACAAACAGATTCATCCTGGAGGGAGTTAAACCAGGCTGCTCCTTGGAGGCAAGGACTCTGGGGCTTCGTCTGACATACTTTGGACATGTTGCCAGGAGGGACGGGTCCTTGGAGAGGGACATCATGCTTGGGAGGGTGGAGGGACAGAGCAGGAGGGGAAGGCCCTCTATGAGGTGGATTGATTCAGTGACTGCGGTAATCAGGATGGGTGTGTTGGAGACAGTGTGTGATTGGCACAGGGCAGAGCAGGGTTGAAGGCTGTTGTGCATAGGGTTGCTATGAGTCGCAAGCGACTAGACGGCACATAACAACAACAATAACAATAACAACAACAACAAAAACAACAACCATCCCAGATAAAAGAGTCCCAGCCGCTCCTTGGGAGAACACATGTGGTAGCCTGTTTTCAAAGAGGACAGCCTTCAAAACCTAATGGGAAGTTCTCCTGTGTTCTACTAGGTCACTGGGGTGGTAATTGACTTGATGACAGTGGGTTTGGGTTTCATTCCAGATAAGCTTGAGTGGCTGCTGGAAAGGAAATAATTGCCCATAAAATCTCAGGGAGGCTGCAGTCCTCAAGTACTATTCAAACACCCAAGGGTCTAAAAACGGAAATGCATTTTTTGTTTAAACTTTTTACTTGTTATTAAACTCAGTTTGTGGTACAATGAATTCAACTTCATTTAGTGACTTGGAATAAAGTTATTATTAGTTTATGTACCCCACTAAGTGTGGATATGCTTAGCATTTCACTGCAAAAAAAAAATTAGTCTGATTATGGAGCCTTGATCCTCAGTCCTTTTGTCAGAGTATTGTATTACCTTTCAAAAAAATTTTCTGAACTGAAAAACACAACTGATCCCTAGGTTTTAGATAAGAAAGATTCTAGACACAGACTAGAATGATGTAAACTCTCATAAAGGTTACCCAAAGCCTACAAGAGTCAAATTACCTCTTGATTATTTCAGACACTCTAACCAAGCCAGACTGTCGCATTATTAATGCTGTGCTAGTACTGAGAGATTTATTACACAGGTCCATGACCACATGCTGAATCCAGGTTTCCTACCTTCACATAATCCAGAGTCAGGTCCATAAGCTGCTGATCCCTGCAAGAAGAAAACACAAATAAGAGACGTGAGAACAATGCTTTACACTGACAAACTGTGTCCAGCCATATCTCACCCTGATCCATTCCAATTACTGAGCTGGAGCCTCTAGCTCCCTGGTGACTCCACTCTAAGCAGACAGCACAGAGAGATGGGGAATCAGGATGGACTCGGATTCCTGCCATGATGCATGCGGGGATAGCAGGAGGATGGCTCCTTGACCTCAGAGTGGAGCCTCCATGTGTTTCCTCATCAAATTCAGGTCCCAGAACATTAAGATATTTATATATGGTAATTCTATGGTGCCTTTGAGTTGTGGTACTGGAGAAGAAGAGTCTTGAACATACTGTGGAACACCAAGAAAAAAAATAGGTCTGTCATCCTGGAGAGGGTGAAACCAAGTTTCTCCTCAGAGGCTAGGATTTGAAGCTCCATTTCTCATACTTTGGGCATGTGGCCACAGGGACCAGTCCTCAAAGAAGGACATCATGCTCGGAAGGGTGGAAGGATGACACAGCAGAGGAAGACCTCAGATGAGACAGATTGATTCAATAACTGGGTAATGGGGGTAGATGTGTCAGAGTCAGTATAACTAGCTCAGGACAGGGCAGGCTTCAGAGCTACTGTACACAGGGTCACAATGAATTTCAGGCAACTCAACAGCACATAACGGCATTAACAACAATTATAAGGTCACTTGAACACAGAAAACTAGACTCAAAATATAAAGCAAAGAGCTCTGAAAAGGGCAGAGATGGGTGAGACAGGAGTGGATCTTCAAACATGCAACATTTTCCTAAATTGGCTGGGTTAATCTCTTCTCCATCTGTATAAGATAGGGTCAAACCTATTGTGACCATAAGACCATAAGAAACAGGATGAGGGGTGGGGTGGTCACACATGGTGGAATGGCAGCCAAGATCACCTAGAATGGAGCCTTACACCCAGCTGTATGTCTAAGCTACATCTTCCTCTGTTTATTGTTGGCTCTAGTACCCACTCAAGGGAAATCTGGTGGCCAAGTGGTAAAGAGTTACACTGCCAACTCAAAAACCACTGGTTCAAATCCACTTGCTGCTTCAAGGGAGACAGATGGGAAATCTCCTCCCTGTGATTTACAGCCTCTGAAAACCCACTGGAAGGTCAGGTATGAGTGAGTTCTGACTCAGTGGGGCAATGAGCTTTGAGTATCCACTCCCTCCTGGTGTAAATCTGAGCAATTCACTCTAATCTTCCTGGTGCTCCAGTGAGTTTTTGGGCTTCCATCTCATATATGCGATAGGAGATCCCCAGTGGCTTAAGGTCATTATGAGTCATACTTGACTCAAAGGTACCTAATGACAACAGGAGTGGCACAAGCAGTTAAGTACTCAACTTCTAGTCAAAAAAGTTGGTGGTTCAACTCTGCTCAGAGGTGCCTGGGGCCAGGGGAGACAGGCAGGCTGATCTGCTTCTGAAAAGTGACAGCCTTGAAAACTGTCTGGTGCAATTCTACTCTGCATGCCTAGGGTTGCCATAACTAGGGACCGATGGGGTGGCAACCATTACCACTGTCACCAACAATAACATCTCCTCTCAGACCTACCAAATTTTAGAATTAATTACTATCATTGTTAAGTCAATTCTAATTTCTAGCAACCTTTCATCAGGATTCCAAGGCTGGAAATCTCTAAGGGAGGAAACTTCCCATCTTTCTCCCACAGAACAGCTGATGGATTTGAACTGTCATCCTTTCAGTTAACAGTCCAATGCATTATGCACTATGCCACCAGAGCGCCTTTAGAAGTGATTAGTCAATGAAAAGTAAACAGCAGTAAAAGTCATTGAGGAGGTGACTTACTACAGAAGATGGACAGATCCACTAAGGCAAGGGCAGAAAGAAAGGGGGTGTGAAGAGAGAGCAAATCACTGCTTAGAAGGGTATCATGAGCCCCGCCCTCACCCCAACAGAGGACATGAAGAGAGAAAGGTGTCAGAGATTTACATTTCAAAGAATCAACACATCCTCAGAAGGAAAAGCAACCATTTGAGAAAGACAGTATGGCTCTGGGGACTGAAGGGGAATCCTGATGTATTTACCAAAAGAAGGAGGCCACCGAGAGGCAGAGGGTTGTTTGTTTGCTCCCAGTGAGCAGAGGAGGTAGCTGTCACCTCTGGATGGAACACTAAACACCCACACAGCAGGCTCGCCTTCTTGCCTGACTGAGGGGATAGGGTGGGAGACAGAGGAGTGTGACAGCAGCAAGGCCAAGGCCAAGGCCAAGGCAACACGACCCTCTACCCAGGGCACCATCACACCTGCGGTGGACAAGGATCCTTGAAGGGATAGGCTTTTATTAAAAAAAAAAAAAGAAAGTAAGAAAATATCTGCTGAAGACCAAGGTTGGTTAACCATAGTTTGCCAGTTGTTTGTTCAAGCAAAAAGGATCTGTTATGAAGGCAGTGGCTAGTTCACCGGATGATGCAAACAAAACACAAAAAAGCTTTGCCTCCCTGACGCCCACCTTATTTGAGAATGCAGCAGAAGGATTACGTACCTATTTCTCATTTCACAAGCTATTTACAAAGGTTGAGGTTTAATAAAATGGACACTTTTTACTGTTTATAGAAGAAACAATTTTATACTGTTTTTAGTCAGTGTGCAGGCCTGGTCGTAAAGGGTACAGTGACACGAGATGCTGGCCTTGCCTGGCTGCACGGAGGCAGCGGCTGTTTTACCCACCCCTGTTTCAGCCCCACCAGTGCAAATGTCACCATGACTTTTAAAAGGCTAAACAGCATCTTAATATCATGATGAAAACAGGTTATATCCTCCAGATTCCCTGACAGAGTCCTAGGAATGCACGGACTAACCACATATCAAAAACCATTGTCCCAATTAAATAAGTATCTGTGGCCCTCAGGCCTGTTTTTTTGTTTTTGGTCAAATAGTCTTCTAGCTTCCCAATTAAAACCACTTGGAAGCGAAGCAGGAGTGGCATCCACTTCCAAAACAGCTTGTCTCCGGAAATCCTATGAACCTGGAGAAAGGATGAAAGTTATACAGGTATCCAGGACTTTCGTTCATAGGGTCGCTATGAGTCACCTACGACTCGACGGCACTTAACAACAACAATGCACATATTGGCTGCAGGTTCAAATCTTCCTACAGATAGTGCAACCAAGATGCTAACAACCAACATCCAGGCAGCTGTCAACGGAATTGATTGTGACATGCAGCAAGTTAATGTTTGTCAGAGGAGAGCTGGGCTCCATAGAAATCATCTATGATATTATTTTTTTTACCTCCTTTCCAAGGCACTCCGAGTGGACTTGAACTTCTAACCTTTTGGTTAATATCTGAGTGTGTCAACCACTGGCTCCCAGAAACACTTCCAAGACTCTAGACTCCCCTTTTCCCATTAACACATCCAAGGAAATTGAGGTATCTTATGTATAAGGTAGTCAGCCTTCAGCAATGGCATCAGGGACCAGCAACAGAATAAGGATCCTATTCATCATTTTCTTGAAATATCTCTTTTCCTTCTCCTTGGAAAATCTGAACTAGTTGGGTGACAAAGAACTATTTCCATGTGAAAATTAACATGAGTAATTGAAGCATGAATGATTCAAAATCACACAAAAACCACTCCAAGCCATTCATTTGAAATGTCCACAATAAAAATGTCAAGGTCTTGAGGTTGGGTTTCTATTTCTGTTTTGGTGAGAGGCAGGAGGGGTAGAGGAGGGAGGTGCTGTGCAGAATTAAATGCTTAGGGAAGGATTTCTTTCTTTTTTTTTTAAATTTAGGTTGTTTATTTTTCATTTCAATGAACATCTACAGAGATTTTAGGATTCCATTCATTCATTGTTGCACCCTTCT